TGAAATTCATTACTTCAGTAAATCAATGTTTTGGGTGGTATGGGGGTTTGAACTCAGGGCCTCAGAACTTATCAGGCAAATGCCTGTCATTCAAGCTTTGCCTCTAGTCCATTTTTGCTTTTGTTTCTTTCTTTCAGACAGGATCCCTAGATTTTCCCCAGTCAGTCCTAGAACCCTGATTCTCCTACTTCTGCCAGCAATGGAAGATGGCCCTCCATTTTAAACTAGAACGTGGGAGATTCAGAAAAGTCTTCTGTACAGAGTCAGGGCAAGGTCTTCTTGTGTGCTGATGATCTGTTCTCCCCCGTGCCAGCCTACTTTGCCGTGTGGAGTGTGTGTTTTTGTCAGGTGGTTTATGTTCTGTCTGCTGAAGGGGGCCAGTATGGTAAAATGATTCCCTTTTTAGTTCTCCTTCAGGTTATGTCAAGGAGAGAGTCTCAGTGTGGTGGTTAGAGGGTCCTAGACATCTGCCTAATACTTTTTCTTTTAACTGAGAGAAATTCCCCCAGGTTTCAGGTTTGGAATTGAAACTGCTAATGCCACAGTTACTTATGGCTATGTCTTTCTTTTAAGTGGATTTATTTAAGTAAGAAAAATGAGCATAAAATCAGTGCCTGGATGTTCTAAAAATCGTGAATATCGTGGTACATACATAGCTGAGAATATCCAACCCAGCACGCTTCAAAATTCAAGGTTTTGAGCAGCCAGTGAATGATTTAAATGCCACTTTCTTAACTGAAGTGCTTTGAACCAGCGGCGCCAAGATTTAGCTTTCAAAGAGAATGACACAGCCAGCAGAGACAAATGAGGACTGGAAGACAATGGCTGGAGCCAGGACTACCACCCAGGACAAACCACACCATTGTCATCATTGTCAGCGGGGCAGCTGTCTGCTGCTCACAGTGGATGTCCTTGAAAGCTCCCATACATCAGTGTCATCGGCCAGAGGAGGCTGTCAGGCTGTAGTGCCTTCTGGAACATCTATTAGAAAGGGAGGGAGCACTATTCTGTGTGGTCACTGCAGATGTCTGGAGCTCTAATGTTCTGTTTTTGGAGCCATGCCTTCACCTGGCTATGTACACGTTGCGAGCCAAAGAGAGCCTGGCTAGAAAACCGGGACAAACAGCTCCCCACACAGCTTCACCTCCAGCAAGCCCACGTGCGCAGACCCCTGGACATCTTGTCCCCCTGGCCTTGAGCAGTTGTGCATGTGGGCCCCTTGGCACATCATGGCCCATTGCTAGGAAGACTTACAGGTGAGCCATGGACTGACTGGTCCCCAGAGGTGTGTCTGGGAATGGGCGCCCTGTCATAGGAGCTAAAGGATATGTGGCGAGCTCATCAAGGAGCCTCTGATTGGGTCAGGGAACTGATAGGGTCCACAGGCTGTCCAATGATCTTGAGAGTCATGAAGCTCTCCCATAGCAACACCTTTTTAATCCTTGTTAAGGGCACCCCAGCTGGGCTGGTACCCTCTTTTGGGACCCCTTCCCCGTAGCAGGAACTCTGCTTAATTTTTTTCTTCTATACATATCTGCCATTTTACTTCTTCCTTTGTGTCTGTGGACCTGCTCCTTGAGAACATCGGGATAAAGGACCTAATCCAGATGCTGCAGATTTTCAAGATCAGTGTGATCTGGGTCTTCAGTCATGTTGTCTATCCATCAAAGCCCTGTTTAAAATGAAGTTGAAGCTGGGCGCTGGTGGATCACACCTGTAATCCTAGCTACTCAGTAGGATGACATCTGAGAATTATGGTTCAAAGCCAGCCTGGGCAGGAAAAGTTGGAAGTGGCACTGTGGCTCAAGTGATAAAATGCTAGCTTTGAGCAAAAGAAGTTCAGGCATGGTGCACAGGCCCCGGGTTCAAGCCCCAGGACTGGTGGGTGCATGCACACACACAAACACACAAATATAATGAAGTTGAAAACATAACTGTCTGCCTACAGCAGAACTCCACTCCATGGTGGTATTTCTGATATCTCTTACTGGGCTTTGCTTGGTTTATTTCCTCAGTGACTTTGGGTTGTTTATCTTCTCTCAATGTCCATGACCTTACGTTCAAAGTGAATGGGAAGTATTATTAACTGAGTGCTAGTGTGCCATCCATGAGACCTGGGCCTAAGAAAACCATGCTTTACATGGCTACTAAAATGAGTCCATAAATAAGATATAATTATTCTTTGGAGATTTTTGTGGCAAAGAGAATCAGCCCGATTCTTATCACATCTAAAAGCGATTAAAACAATGTAAATTACAACTGTGGGAACCCAGTGATATAAGACATCAACGTGGCAGCAACTCTCGGTGGAAGTGTGGGAGAGTGATGTGTCCACCTGCAGAGGGACTTGGGTGATGGAGGAAGCCCTGTATCCAACACTGGGCCTTGATCACAGATTCCTAGAACCCTCTTCCTCTGGGTTCCTTATGCCATACCTAACAGTTACTTAGAAGTAGACTTGGCTGGAAAGCACAGACTCCTTACCTGGGTCCATGAACAAACTAAAGCAAGAGCACTTGGCATGTGGGCCTCCACTGAGTATCTGTGTTCTTGCTTTGAATTGGTGCCTTGGCAGTTGTTTTACTATTACCTTTGAATCCATGAATTCCAGAACTGGTGAATCATCTCTTCATACAGAGGAGAGAGACCCCCCCCCCCAGCCATGGAAGGGAACAGCACAGACTGCACAGGCCAGGCTGCATGCCAGGCCACGGTGACTTGCTTATCTCCACCACACTGGTCCCTACCTGAGATAGCATTACAGAACCCTTCTCTGATGGCCAACCAGATCACACGCTGGCCAGGACTGTTGTGTAGCGACCAACACTTTTCACCTCCTGCTCCGATTATTTTCTTATTTAAACCTACAGCTCAGGTCTATATTCTGCTGTTACCAAATCTCCCTTTTCTGCCCTTCCCCATATCTCTTTATGTGGCAGCTGGAGGCATGGATGGATCTGATAGGAGGAGGCCCAGGAGTTTGAACCTGGGGCCTAAAACTCTGGGCCCAGAAACAGAGCTGTGGCTCAAGTGGTAGAGCATTAGCCTTGAGCAAAAGTGCCCAGGCTGAGTTCAAGCCCCACAAGTGACCAAAACAACTCAAACAACAGTAACAACAAAAAACAAAAACCCTCTGGTTTTAGCTTTGGCTGCCCATGAGATTCACCTGGTGGAGCTTTAAAAAGTCTCAGTTCCCACCTGAGTGCAATTCAGATACCCTGGATCGTACATTAAAAAGCAAGCAAATAGAAAAAATAAACAAAAACTGTCTGCCTGTCACTGGTGGCTCATACCTGTAATCCTAGCTGCGTGGGAGGCTGAGATATGAGGATTGAGGTTCAAAGGCAGTCTGCGCAAAAAAGTCCCCTTGAGACTCTTATCTCTAGTAAACTACTCAGAAAAGTTGGAAGTGGCACTGTGGTTCAAGTAGCAGATGGTAGCCTTGAGCAAAAGAAGCTCAGAGACAGAGCGCAGGCCCTGAGTTCAAGGCCCGGGACTGGCACACACACACAAAAAGAGCAACTTTGGTGATTCCTGATCTGATCCGATTTGTTGCCTTTGGAAGCTGCAGAAGAAAAGAATATGAATCCAGCAGGTGCGGGCTGGGGAGTTTGGGCAGTAAATGAGCTGTCTTTCTTTGTGGGGTGGGAGGGCCAGGGTTAGAATACCCAGGGTTAGATATACCTAGCAAGGACAGCACATACAAAAAGGATTCAATAATCCCAGCTGCAATAATCACCATTAGTTATAAATACGTGCTGTGACGTACTTTCTGGAAATTGTTGAATCTTCACATTAATGGCATTCTTTCTTAATGACCAAGGGGGGAAAAATCCTCAGATTAGGGAAAAGTTTTGGACAGGCTTTCCTAAGGTGATTTCATTTTCACCTGGGCCCATGAGCCTTCTAAGTTTGGGCCCTCCTGCACCCTGTAGCTTGCCTGGAAGCTTCCAGGCTTTTTTTCATTGGGAACCTGTGGCATCTCTCTCTCCTGTTATCTCATCCAAAAGCTGTCCACACGTGGTTAACTACGCCCTTGCAGGGAGGGAGGGCACAGACACCCTGAGCTGAGAGCCGTGACCCCAAATCTACCACTCCAGACAAAGGAGAATCGACATTTCAAGCAGGACCAGCAGGGAGGGCGGTCATCACAACACAAAGGACAGACGGAGCATCTCAAAAGACAGGTGTCCATGTTGGCTAAGAGAGTGAAAAGACAAGGGACAGTCACCAGACCGTCAGGAGGGACAGCGGTGGCATTGCAGCCTTTGAGTGCTGCTGCTGGCCTGGCAGAACCGGTGCTGACCACGTCTCCCACTCAACTCCACCAGGGCTTAAGAGCCGGACTGCGGGAGGAAGTTCCTGACTAGCTGGGCCTGGGCCTGGGCCTGGCGGCACACGGCAGCCAGAAGCTCCGCTCCACCTGGGCAAGGACGTGAAGGGTTGCCGAGCTCTGCTCTGCCTTCTTCTATCAGGTAACCGGGAAATTCAAATTCTCTTGGGGGCAAAAAGGAACTGCTCATTCAGGTGAGCCACGCTGCATGGTTAGAGCCAGCTGCTCACATGTGGGAACAGAGACTGGCCGCGTCATCAGCCCTGATACCCGAGGGTTGGCATGCTTAGGCTTATCAGTGATCATTTACACAGAAAGGTGGCATTGTGCCCACTGCAGCCTGGGGGCTGGGAGGCGGGATGGGGACTGGTCCTGGGACCGGCTGAAGCACTTCTGGGCTTTTAGATGCATTGCCTGCGGACGTTTAGCATTTTATGCCATCATTAATTCAGGCCTCAAGTGAGCAAGTCTTTCAATAGGACAAAGAAGCGCTATTTTCTGTGCAAATGAAAACCATAGATCCGTAAAACTATTTTCCCTGCGGCGATAACTGGCCCACCCCATGGCGGTCTTCACAGAGGACAGATCCTCCCGCCACCCCCTCCCGCCACCCCCCTCTCGGCACCCCTCTCAGCCACGTCACCAGTGGCAATGCTAAGTCTCTTACCTGGGGCCTCTTGGGGCTTCTGGAAAGGTATGGCAAGGTGTGCAGTTGTCCAGGGCTGATACTGAAGTCTCAGGCGGTGCTGTGGGTAAGGGCTGGTACTTCTTTGGGAGAGTGAGGGGAGGCCTGTGGAAAGAGTCGCAGAGGGGCCAGAACAGGTCTTCTACACAGCTGCTCCTCAGAGCCCCAGTTTGCCCGCCTCGCCCCCCGCTTCCAGCTGGAAGGGCACTGCTTTGTAGAGCAGGTGACTCCAACCTTAGCATCTTCCTTCCACTCCCTCCCGACTGCCCTCCTGGTCCGGGGCCTTTCCTCTGGGGTGTGGCACAGTTCTCTACAGGTGTGCATATATCACCTTACCATCACTTTTCACTACAGGTGTCAATATATCACCTTAACCATCACTTTTCACTACAGGTGTCAATATATCACTTTTCAGGACACCACTGATCTTAGCTGTAGGAAGCCTGGGAAAATTTCTCCCAGGATGGAAGATCTGAGTTTTGAACACTCCCTAAAGAAACACGAAGCTGTTTGGAAGTCAATGAATGCCTCACTTACCCATTTCCTCCAGCCTTTGGCTCATTCATTCAAAAAGCATCATCAGCCACCTTGGTAGGTGCTAGGTATGAAGACAGGAAGGAGATGCAGTTCTGGGCTTGGGATGCTCTCTCCCAGAGGGAGGAGCAAGGGCTGAAGGACCACCACGTGTGGTCAGGGCTAAGGAAGAGGGCCAGCAGGCTCACAGAGCCACGGAAGAGGCCAGCTCCAGCAGATGTAGCTGCTCGTCTCCATATGTGTATTGGCATTCATGTATGTCTTGGACATAAATGCATGCACTTACATGAACATGTATACATGCGTTCTAAGTCCCTTGATTTAATTTTAAGTCAGTTTTTACATTCGGATTCATATATATGGACATATCTCCATCTACACCCATAGCTATCTATCTCCATCATCTCTATCTCTACCTCTTCCTATGTTTTCCCTATAGCTGTACTTCATGATTGAGAGAAACAGAAAAATAATGAAAAAAAAAACACATTTAGGTAGAAACGGAGGGGAAGGCATATCAACTAGATGACAGTGGATGGGAGGATGAGCAAGCAGATGAAGGAAGTCTTGTGTTAAGTTTTTCTGATACCAAATGTCTTCTTTTCAAGCACTGGCACATCTTATCCAAGCACAATATAAAAAAAAATACGATGTTGATTGTCTTACCGAGGAGGTGGTAAAGGAATCTGATAAAAGGAAAGAAAATCCAAAATTAAGTATATTTCTCTTTGGGAAGGAGCACCAAGGGTTAATTTTGGTTTACAAATAGAAAAAAATCGGACTAATTCTTACCTTGTTTCCTTTTGTGGGTCTGTCTCCTAAAACATAAAAGAGAGGTCACCAGTGAATATGGGAAGTGTCATTGGATGTTATTCTTATATAAGGTTCTGTGAAAATGACTCGGGTTTTCACACAGAACCCAGCATGGTCCTACACAACTGACTTCTGGGGTTTTAGTAAACTTCCCCTTCATTGTGCTAATGAAGAACCTGAGATATGGAGAAGTAAGTGCTTCACCTGCAGGGCCTAGCTAGTAACTGGAAGAAGACGGAATTCACTGGGGTGGTGTGACTCTCCTAGCCACTGGGCCTTGTTGAGGGTTGATGTTCCTATATTTAACCATAATAATTAATACTGTTTATGTAATAATTAATAAGGGAATTAATGAGTGGAGCTATAGTGACCAGACACTAATTATATTTAATATAATTTAACTTTAGTATTTTGATTTTATATACTTGTCTATAATCAGTCCCATTTTCTGCTTAGCCCCTTATGAAGTTACTTCTAATCAGGAGAGAAAATAACATCAAAGAATTAAAAAAATACCAGCATCCAACACCTTTGTTTAACAGATGAACATGAGCTAAGAAACGGATGATATAGAATGAGTCCTCAGAACCAGCTCTCCCTAGAAAAGCCAGAGCGGGAGGCACCACAGATTGCTCTCTCTTCTAGGTAGTTTTATACCCACGATTCAATCCGATTCAAAGGTAATGATAGAGCTGCTCCTCTGAGCTAAGCTGGGGACCAGGTGCAGAGGCCAGACTGTCCATCAGGAGAAGGCACCTCACCGAGCTCAGCACTGGTCTGTCCACAGGCTACGTTCTAGGTTCTGGGCGCCATGGTAAAGGTGATTGCCACTGCTCCTGACACCGACAGGTGCATACTTGAGCTCATGGATGTGACTGCAAACAGCAGGAAAGCTCTGGGAGTCTCAGGTACGGAGGGCCAGGGAGGAGAGCTGAGTTAGGATGGAGGTCAGAGAAAACCCACTGGAGGAGGGCGCAGCTTTGCTCATCTGTAAAGACGGCTGTGGCAAGTTATTCTGTGGGTCTGTGGGAGACATTCCAGGAAGGCTCTGACTCTTGTGACAGGAGTGTGACACCTCACCCGAATCCTGGCCCAGTTTGCTGCACTGATTTTCGTAGCTGAACAAGACAGCCAGGCCCTGAGTTCAAATCCTGGTATTAGCACACACGGAAAAGACTCCAAGCAGAGGTAACAGATGTCCCAATGTGATCAAAATCCAAGCCATAAATGATCCCAGTGTGCTTTCACACCGCTAGTCGCGCTACGGGTACATCTTTGGCCATCTCAATGACATTACAACAAGCTTAGATTACAGGATGTTGCTTCAGGCACCAAATTAAAAGCCAGACCGTTATTTTCCCCTCATTTGATTGTTTATTTCATCAACTTAAAAGAGCTTCGTGGGGAAGATTTCTGATGCCTGACTTGATGACATTCCTTGTGAAATTAGCTTTGGCTCTCCAAGAGCTCTTAAAAAGAAAAAGAAAAAATATCTCGTTTCCATTTCCTGGAGTTCATTTCGACCCATATTATTTTATATGATCAGAGGAATAGAGATTGCGCCTTTGTGTTCCTCCCCTGAGTTTTCTCCTGAATAGCTTTTTTTTTTTTTTGTGGCTACTACTACATCTATTTCCCCCCTCTCTTTGGAGGAAAAAACCCCCATTCTATAGGGGAGACTGACTCCTGGCAGTTCCACAGGGAACACGGCATTTGTTTATTTTTAGACATACCTCTTCACCTCGCTTCATGCTTCGGTGGCTGTGATTTAGAAAAGCCATCTTTCTCTCTCTTATTCATTGACTTAGCCCTGAGCTCCCAGGCCCCTCTCCACGGGAAGTCCATTCACTCCTTTCTTTTTTGCCTTCACACAAACTTGCTTTGTCTGTTTACAGCACTCTCCTGCATTTTAACTCTTTAATGGGTGGACTAGCAGGCCTGTGCATGGATGCTGTACTCCGAAAGGAGTGAGCAGAATGTGCTCAGCAAGAAAGGCGGGAGGGACTTTGTACACTTCATGGCAAGCGGTGTGTTGAATAAATGAGTTAAAGCAATTTAAGACATGGATCTTAAGGCACCCCTGCAGTTACAGTTTTGCTGTTGTTGATTATTATTATTACTTAATGGAAAATTAGAGGCAATGTATGTTTGCACTCTTAATTAAGTACACAGTCTGAAATGCAATAAGTTTCCTGTCTGTCCAATGAGAGGACCAAGTGGTTGTTCAGTCTCTTCCGACCATTTCCTGTGGAGGAGACTGGAAGGTGTGCCCTCTGGTGGCCAGAGTCTTCACTGTCGACCTCTCTGGGGAGACGTGGCTTTTGCTTTTCTGTCTTCAGATCTGTCAGGCAGGGAAGTTCATGCCTGCCTGATGGATCTTGGGTTGACACTGCCCTGCACAATTTGTCAGGGAGAAATGAACTTCTCAATGTTAGGTGAGCAAGCTTCTTGGAGATAGCTCGAAAAGGCCTGTTGGTGACGTGTTGGAGGACCTGGTTGTTAAGTACAGCCAACATTAAAGGTCAATAATGTAAATGCACCATTAGCTGAGGATAGTCACCCCTCTGGTATCCATGCTGGGCATTTTGTCTCAAACATTGTTGTATGATGAACTGGCATTCTTCCCAAGTTCATATTCATGACCACGTTGCGTGCTAAGAGTATGTACACCATGGGAACTGGCTTTTGCACACTGAAGACAGTTTTATAAAGAAAATGTTTCTAAGGGCAGTGTGAAGTGTGTGGCACCTGTAGCCATTTGGTTTTGAACAATGGGAAAATGGAGAAAGTATGGTTGTGGTTCTGGGATGATTTACTGACCTGTTACTGAGCTCCCAGACTCAGACATGTGCTGCTAGTATTTGGCTCAGCTCAGAAGTTGTGCTTGCTATTGTATCAACAGATACAAGGATCTGGCAAAAAATCATCAAAAACATTGAAAGATTGACTAGCTTGAGCCAAGAGTGGTGTGCAAACCTGTAATCTCTACATTTGGGAGGCCAAGGCTGGAAGATCACAGTTCAAGGTCAGCCTGGATTATTGTAGCAAGATCCAACCTCAAAAGAAAAAAATTAATTGTGTTCACTGAATGATGATCAAGGGTATATATCTTCCACAAATTATTATTATTTTTTGATACTGTACTAGGACTTGAACTGAAGGCCTGGGTGCTGTCCCTTAGGTTGTTTTGCTCAAGGATGGCACTCTATCACTTGAGCCATAGCTTGACTTCTGGCTTTTTGCTGGCCTGAACTTTCCTACACAGGCTGGCTTTGAACTCTGATCCTTAGATCTTAGCCTCCTGGGTAGCTAGGATTACAGCAAGAGCCGACAGACCTGGTTTCACCATTAATTTAAATTGTGTGCTGCATATCCTTTCATAAGCAAAATGTATCAGAGGCTTACATGCAAATAATTTTTTTTTAGATATCCAGTGGCTCTATGTTTCTTGCAGTTTGTGATCTACTTCCATTGCTAGGAATAATGAGCTGGACAACTAAATTTAAGTTGCCTTGCTTCTCTGAGCTTTTTGCATCCTCATCTAGACTTCAAAGGGTTGAGAAACAAGATAAGAAGCAAGAATTCATCTTCTGACAGGGAGCAGTAATGCACTAGGGTAGCGGTAGGAGCTTTGACATCATTTGAGTTGGGTTCTAAGCCCATCTGTGTCATTTCCTGAGTGACCATGGACAAGTTACTTAAATGTTCTTTTTTTTTGGCTGTCCTGGGTCTTGAACTCAGGGCCTGGGTGCTATCCCTGAGTTCTTTTGCTCAAGACTAGCGTTCTACCACTTGGAGCTGCAGTGCCACTTTCCTGGGTTTCAGTTTCAGTGGCTGTGAGGCCCAGGCAACAGCATCAAGTTCTGTGGATGGTTAGGGTTAAGTAAAATAATATTTAGTTTTCATTTTTGCTTCCAACCAATTTGTGCTAATGTCGGCATTCCCCTTTATCTATGAAATACAATCATGCAAGTCCACAATTTTAGGAGCAGACCATCCGTGTAATGTTCTGTAATTAGAGAAACAGACTTTGGACAAAATTGGATAAGACTTGGCCTCAATCAAAAAATTTATTATGTCTGGGAGTTTTATGATATGCGAAAGTGAACCATTAGGGTTTCGTGTCCTGATGATGAATTATGGAAGAGTCCAAAGAAGCAACTTAGAACGCAAGTGGCTAATAAAGTATATCTGGCAGGGCCTTCTCGGGGAGCAGCACGCCTATTGAAACCTTTGGAATTCATTGCAGCAGTAAATGACCGAAAACAATTGTTTGGGGTGCAGTAGGGAGGGGGTTACGCCAAGTGAAGCTAAGGATAGGCTACAGCAGCTCCTTAAGTAAGGTCTGAGGTTCAAGATGGAGCACAATGGCTTTTACAGCTCTCAGGCTGGGGTTGCTGGGGAATGGGGGAAGAGGACATTTCTCTAACCCAACCCGGGGAGGGTGAAGGGATAGGCTAAGGGAGGATGGGCCAGGGGCGCGCGCGCGCGCATGTGTGTGTGTGTGTGTGTGTGCATGCTGGAGACCGTGGGGTTCTCTTACATTTCTGAAGACAGGATAGGAAGGCCCAAGGAAGGAAGATAACTCATCTCTATTTAGAATGAACTGGGACAGAAGTCTCCAGACCTCCTGACTTGCGGCTGCCCTGGGCCTTGCCTAAGGGGAGGGTGACAGAGGCCGCAGGCTCCAGGGCTCTGTGACACCAGACACAGAAGCAGTGACTGGTAGCACACTACCACCATGGCTGCAGGAGAGGACGCACGTAGCTACCCTGTGGCGTTACCGTCACTGTGGACAGTGCTGTGTGAAGAACTGGGATTCAGAAATCCTTAGTAGCTGGGATGGATGGCTTCTGCTTATAAATTCATCAGG